ATAATAATAATAATAATAATAATAATAATAATAATAATAATAATAATGATGTATTATAAAACTAAATTGAATAGTACTAAAATAGAAAATGATTTTTATCAACAATATTATTATACTCATTTAAAATATTTTCTAAATTATTATCCTATCTATAATTCAAAATTTAAATATAAAAGTACTGGAAAATAACACATTAATTGGATTCATAAGATTTTTGATGAAGTTTATGATGTACAACGAAAATTAAATACGTTGTTTGAATGATTAATTAATATTAAAAACTTTAGAAATATACATCTTATTTGAATAATTATATGATATTATATAATGAACAATATGATTACAAAGTATTTGCGATTCATCGTAATTCGTTTGTAATAAACGGAATTTTGATGTAAAATAGTTATCTATGACCAATGACAAGAATGTTAATCTCTCCAATTAAATATGTTGAAATGCTTTGTTGTAAATTAATTAAATTTAATAACTTGTAAATAATATAATTTTAAATTTCAATAATTTAATAATATAATCATTTACAAAAGAGCAATAATTTAAAGTATATAAAAATAGTAGAAAAGTATATTTTAATTAGAAATTTGACACTAATAAATTACAGTATTATGCTATAAAAACAAAAAGACAAAAAATGTTTAGTTATTAATAACTTTAAAATTTAGGCTTTTATAATTTCAACGACCCAAATCATACTGAACTATAATAAGAATACGAAGTAATATGGAACTGGTAATTTACGAGAGTAAAATATTATTGGAATAATATCAGAGATAATAGATTTTATTTTTTACATTTATACATCCATAGAGTTGTTTCGTTTTTTACTAACTTAATTTTAGTATTTTTCCTAAATGAAAATTGATAACAAAAATATATAAAAATAAAACATAATCAAATTTCTTATATCAATTCTTCAAAATTAACTTGTGTTAGTTAAATATGATTTTATAAAAATATCAGTACATGATATGAAAAATGCATCATGAAACAAATAGTACGTAAAAGTATAAATAAAGAAAACTTATACGGTTCTGTAAAACGTTTTAGATCTTTCCCATATAAATCTATATTTCTTGTTTCATATTTTTAGATTTGTGAAATATATTTATTAGAATATCGTATATTTAATATATTTTCGGTAACTACTTTTATACCAAACGTACCACTTAAAGGTATATTATATACAAGGAAACACGAGAAGAATTAGTTTTTGGTTTATTTCAACACTTTAATTATTTTAGAATAGTTCTAATCAGTGTCGGTTATTGTCTGGCTCATGATTAGACTTCCGGTAAAAAAATTACAATGGGCCCTTAAACAACATAATATTGGAGTGAGATTCAATGAATATCTAATACATTTTTTTCTTTCTACGCTCGAACTCTACTACAAATATTAATTAATTTTGTTTTTATATTTTTCCAAAACCAATATTATCAAATTATCATTGTGTTCGTGTATGTAACCATCAAAAACACGTATCTCAATTTTTCAGAGTATTTATATTTGTTCGATATTGATCAAGAGAACAAAAATGTATAAACTATAGCGGTTATTCCTAGTTCTATATAATCACGTCCAAAATATTTCAAAATTAAGATAAGAATAAAATATTTTAATTCAATTGAAAAAAATAATAACTATGATTTTTCATGTTAGTGTGGTTGCTTTAAGTTCGAAGGCGGATTTAGGAGATTATCAGGAGATCAGCTGATCCACAATTAATATTTATTGACAAAATTGGCCTCAAGAAGACTTATATTTTTTAAGTGTACCAACTATAAGTTGAAGTTAAAACTAAATTGAAAAATGCCCCAGTTTCGACTTCCCCCCTTAAAATCATACCACTGATTTAATTATAATAAATCATAAATAAATCACATAAAACATCTGTATGCCAGACTTCATAAGGGATTCCATAAAATAAAATAAAATTTTACAATTATAATTATGAATAAACTTAAAAAACAAATATTATATAATCATATTGTTGTTTCATTTCAAAGAATATATTTACAATCCACTTTAAGTTCTGAAAAATGGCCCCTTGAAATAGCCTGAATCACAGTTCTCTAACAGTGGATCTGCCACTGTTTAGGCCCCTATTTTAAGAATAAATCTCAGGGCCCCCGGAAATTGCTGGATATTCAGATAGACCAGACCAACACTAGTTCTACTACTTTTTTATACCGTAACAGAAATATTAATTTACAATTATTACTGTGAATAATACACAATACTTTAATTCAAGGCAGTTTAAAAGATATGTTTAGTATTCAGTTAATCATACAAACAATTTCAGTTTTAATTCCTAATTTTCTCAAAATTTAGGGATCATATTTATTTTTATATTTTTCTGTTGATCAAATTGTATTGAATTTTTCATATTTTATATTTAATAAATAAATTTAAACTATTATTTGAGATTCACGAATATATTACTAAAGAAACGAAATTAATTTTAAAATAATCAGAATATTGAATTATGTAGTTTAATTCCGAAGACTTAATTTTTATTCCCGCACATTCCTACTAGTAGAGAACAAATATAATATTTATTAATATTTGCGTGAAACAATGAAAAATGTAATGAAATTAAATTATAGTTTTAATTAAATATTTCCTTTTAGATTATATGATACAAATTAAAAGTGTATACAAATATACTAGTATAGAACTTTTCATCAACAAAAAACCTACGTAAATTATATGATAAGAATTTAAATATTTTAATTTTAACATGATTTTAAATTTATAGTATTTTATTATACATCTTAAAAATTAATATCAATTATTCGTATTAAGAAACAAAAATAAATAATAAATAGAGAGGAAATTTTCTTAAAACATACGCGCATGATCCAAGAAAAACATAAAACTTATCTGTCTATACAATATTTCTTAAAATTGTACTTAGATACTTGTTACACGTTACATAATGATTTAGATCCTGTAATAAATAAATGCAGTACTATAGTACCTACATTAAAACTTTAAAAATGTAATACGAAGTATTCGTGCTAACCGTCTTACACGCTCCATTAAATGTTTAGTATACAATTGAAAAATATTTTAATGAATAGAGAGAGAATGTTTTTTTTTGAATGAGAATAGGCAGCTTCGGAATTTTTAAGGGAATTTAATATCAAAATTCTTCAACACTGATATTAAAATTATCTACAGAGACGCGGCATTTCATTAAATGTCGAATATGAAAATAAAATAAAGTATATAATTTGAAAAGATAATCTTTGAATGCATTTTATATTGTAAATAATCAGTCTTAAATTATATCAGTTATAAATTATACATCTATTAGTCACACCATATTTTTATAAGCAAATCACTTTATTTTAGAAGACTGTTATAAATATTTATTTACATTTTAGTATTAGAACATGACGACAGGATTACTGAATATGTAACTAACTAGTTATTATATACGACCATGTGAATTTTTCAGAAATATCTGTTTTATTAAAATATCAACTACCTCTGATCTAGTTGTTAATTGTAACTACGAGGTGTGGCTATTAAATAACGAGACTATCTACTTAGCGATAAGGCATGAGTAGATAAGGGTATAATGGTAGTATATTTGTAATCTATGAATATCACTGCATCGAACAATACCAGTTTAGTCAGTTTCCGTTTTGTAGTCTATGTGTAAGCATCGTTTAAATTAATCTCTTACGTCAGTGGTTCTCAACCGGGGTGACATGTCACCCGAGGGTGACATGGACACAGTGTAGGGGTGACACGAAATCTCCACAGGAAAAGGAAAAAAATTAGAAAAAAATTAATTTTAATAAAACCATATTATTACCACAACAGTCATGTAAATAGCACACCTTTAAGTTTACATCTTTATATTATTTAGATCCAATGATTACGTGCAGTATTGTTATTAACGCAAAATCGATGTATTATCGATTTTTTTATCGACTTAACCGGGGTCGTTAGTTATTTTACAGTCGTTAGATATGTAGTATTATTATATACAAATAAAACAAATAACAAGTATAAAATCTTTAAAAAAATTTTTTTTTTTTTTAATTTTAAGTATAAACTTTATAATATCAATGTTTATTGAACCCTGCAACTCAATAAATTGTAGGTGTACTTATTATTTTTCTGTTTTTATTGTTTTTGTTATTTAAAGAATTATTCTAAAATACACAGTTAAGATTATTTATAATTTTGATGTTAGGGTGACGCGGGGTTTAATTCTAGTGGCTAAAGGTGACATGAATGAGAAAAGAATAAGAATCACTGTCTTACGTGTTGAATGTCGAAATCATGCCGGACGAAGAAATTGAACAACGTATTAATTTAAAATTTTTAGTGAAACTTGGAAAATCTGCGACCGAAAGTTTTAATTTATTAACTGAAGTATATGGAGATAGTGTCCTATCACGACCACGTGTTTTTGAGTGGTACAAACGATTTCGTGAGGGTCGTGAAGAAATTGAAGACAATCAACGGGTGAGTCGTCCATACTCCTCAAAAACTAACGATAACATTTCAAAAATCAATGAAATTGTGCGAAAAGATCGATGTCTGAGTATTCGAATGATAGCTGAGATGGTTAATATCGACAAGGAGACCGTTAGACAAATTTTGCACGATGAATTAAACATGACAAAAGTCTGCACCAAAATGGTGCCTAAAAACCTCACTCTGGAACAGAAAGACGGTAGGCGACAAATTTGCGTTGACATTCTTGAACGGATGGAAAATGAACGAGATTTGTTGAAAAAGGTAATAACATGCGATGAAACTTAGATTTTCCAATATGACCCCGAAACTAAGAGACAATCCATGCATTGGAAGACTTCCGAATCACCAAAATTGAAAAAAGCTCGAATGAGCAAGTCGAAACTGAAGGCCATGTTGATCGTATTTTTTGATATTAAGGGTGTAATAATGACAGAATGGATACCTCAGGGACAAACTGTGAATCAACATTATTACCTTCAAGTATTGACAACACTCAGGGAACGAGTAAGAAGAAAGCGGCCTGAGTTGTGGGAAAATGACTCTTGGATCTTGCATCGAGACAATGCACTGGCTCACAGTGCCTTATCTGTAAAGCAATTTCTAGCTAAAAATCGAACTCAAATGCTTCAACACCCCCCATATTCACCAAATCTCGCTCCATGCGACTTTTGCCTTTTTCCAAAACTAAAAAATGCGTTGAAGGGCACACATTTTGAGTCAGTTGAAGCTGTGAAAACAAAAGCGACAGAGGTGTTAAAGACATTGCAAGAAAAGGATTTCCAACACTGTTTCAACCAATGGAAAATTAGAATGGAGCGATGTGTCAAACATGGAGGGGAGTATATAGAAGGGGAAAAATGTTAAACCATTAAAAAATATAAATAAAAAGTTTTTACAGAGAAAATCTCGTTATTTATTAGCCACACCTCGTATGTTAAAACATATTTCCAACAATGGGCAACTTAACATACTTTTTACAAATAAATAAGTTTCATTCGAGTGATTAGTCTAAATCTAATGACAACGGAAAAAAAATATAGTGAACATTTTAAAATGTATACAGTTCAATCATCTCTGACTTAAACATATTCCATGTAAAAAATTTTCCTTTCAACTTTGATATACACAGTTTGAATTTATTCAAAGTTTATTCATATCTATATTGAATAAAAATTGAGAATAGATTTAAGACCGTAAAAGATTTTTGTTGGTACAAATTGTTAATATTTTTAACACGTATTGGGGTTATAGAAATATCTTGAATTTGACTTTTGGATTTGAAAAAGGACCAAGATGATATAAAGAAAAATGTAGTTTCAATAATTTTATTTTTTTTTATAACTTGGACATGATTAAAAACATTTTAATTGTTAAATAATCTCCTTCCATCAAAAAATAAATAAATGTTGAGTGTTTCCAATACATTTTTTTAATATTGAATCTTAAAATTATTCATGTACTTTACCAATAAACAACCAGGTAATAATAATTATAAAGGAAAGTAATAATAAGACATGAATAACTTGTGTATAAACAATTTTAAAACAATGTATATTATGCTGGTCATTAAACTTAAACAATAAATTTAATTAAGTTAGATTAAATTAAATTAAGTTTTAGATAAATTGAACTCTGGTCAATTATATATTAAATAATGGAAAACAATTTTTTAAATATTAATATTTTGCTATTGTACATATAAGAAAACAGAATGAAGCAAAGATAGCTTTAGTTACATTCGGGATAAAAATTAACTAAACCATGTAATTCGTTAAATAGTTAATGTTAAAACTCAATAAATCATAATTATATGATTTTACTATGGTCGAAATATTTTTATCATATCGAGTTATATTTGTCACATACTTGATAGAGAACGAAATATCTGTTTTTCCACCTCCCGCTATCCGAAGCTTTTTTATGTAAATTGCCGGTGAGTGTGCTATCAGTTCGGGCGCGGTCCGACAACATCAGTAGCTGATTGTCTACCACCCGAACACATCTTTGCATCTTCGGACTCAACATAACCACTGCGAACATACGATTATAAAATATTTCAAAATTAGCAATATCACGATTAAAATGTTAAGCCAATTCGATCAAACAACTATTTACAGCTTCATAACTTACGATAAATATAATACATCTACTACAAATTCCAAAAATTACAATTGACAAGTATTTATTTAATAAATTCTTTCTAGCCTTATACCTATAATATTTATAACTTTCAAAGTAATAATCATTATTTTTAAAGAAGTTTAATTTTTTTATCGAAAAATCAAAAAATTACACATAGTCCTTAACATTTAAATCTAAAAAAGAAGGTTAATCTACGCACAATATACGATTTTTTTTTGCTTAAGGTTTATTCCTAAATTAAGGTAATTGATATTGTAGATCTTATTATATTCTTAACGTATAACGTCGGTGAAAAAATGTAAGAGCTGAAGTGCAAAAATCCAATTCAGCCACAAAGTAGAAACTACTATTTGAAAGCCATCACGTGTTAAAAACAATCGATACCTATTACACAAAATAATGAATTTCCTGCGAATAAGTTATCATTTGTGAAGCAGTGCAAACAAGTGGTACAGGTAAATAATAATAATAATAATATTAATAATAGTACCTATTTTGGAATAAAATATGATATTATGAGAAAACAATTAGAATAGGTACATGTAAGGATAATGCAAAGTGTATACGATATTGGTATATAAATTACTAACGTACATACAACATATTTATCATGTGCATATATTAATATATAACTGCTAAGAGCGTGTTTTTCACGACACTGCAACTAACGTATGGTGACGTAGTAGGAAGACAAAAACCAATAACTCCCACCCCTTTAACTTTTCAACCTTAAGTTTGATAATTCCGTAGGTAAGCAAGTCAAGCTGCATCCATTTCAAAAGATTAAATCGACGAAAAAAAATATAACAATAATTATTCTATAACGCATATGTTCGAGTTGCATGTATACATAATTACGAAGTGGCAAAAAAAATGTAATAGACCATTTCGAACACAGGCGTATACTAGAGGGGAAGCTCCTATACGCAAATCTAAAGATATATAATAAAAATTTAGAAGTATGTCACGATCGATCGTATATGTAGTATACATGTAGTACTACAGCGTCACTTTTGGACGTACATAATTCGTTTTGTTTAAAATATTGGAAAACAGATTTCTCTAATCACAAAAATTTTGTTAAATAGGACAAATCTACACCATCTGTATTATCGAGAGATGTTTAAGGCAGATTTTCATATTATTAAACACACGAATGTACAAATACAGTCGGTGAAGTAGGTACTATACATATATAGGGTACGTCATGGGCAAGGCTGGATTAAGTACCTATTGGGCTCCGGAGCTAAAATATTATATGGGACCTTTTGACAAAACATGCTTTATAAAGTCGCTCACTACGCTCTCAGAGCAGTACATTTTTTTAACTATTTCAAAAATTGTCAATTGAATTATAAAATTATAAAATTAATAGATATGAAAGTTCATAGCTAATGTATGTCTATAAAACTACTAATTTTAGTATGATGAAAAATTTGTATTGGCTTAAAATTGTTTGGGCCCGTTTCACTTAGGTACTCGAGAAGGCCCCGGCTAGATCCCCCCTCAATCCGGCCTTGATCATGGAAATCAGTGGTGCAGAGTTTATATTCGGCAAGTGTTAAGGTTTTGGAGACTTTCTGGATAGATAGATACGGTGACGACATAAAACATGGAATAATAACGAATACCCGAAGAAGATAGAAATACTGTCAGATAATGCCTGACGGAAATAGTAGACCGATAGTGATTTGTTTTTAATGCAATACGTATGTAAATTAAATATGTTTATCTCATGTCACAAAAAAGAAAACCTCAAAGTACCGAGATGTTTTAAATACATCGGATGTAAGGTTACGTAGACTATCATCTAGGCGCGTATTCTAAGTCTCATTCCAAGGGTGGGGTGGGGGCTTATATCTAAATAAAATTAGGCATAAATTATCGTAAAATGTTATATCGATGAATTCATTTATATTCATTTATATATAATAATTATCATTTATACCTATCGTAATGTTATGTTTTTCAAGACAATTTAAACAATATTTATTTAATTCGGAGGGAAAGTTTGTCCTCATTAACGCTTGTTACTTTTTCTTCTGTGTGTTTGTGTGTGTGCATGTATGGACGGGCAAGGGTTGCAGCTCTCTCTCAGAAACCCTCTTAAATATGTCCCTGTACTATGGTTTATCGGGATCGGTACAACGAAAACGAAATGTGTTATTTGAAAAAATGCGAACACGAACGAAATCGAGATAGTTAGCTCCCCCGTGGTGGCATCACCGATTAGGCGTAACAACGTTTAAAAACGTAAACGTTTGCACACACACACCCACAAATACTTTCTCGTGACCCCGTAAGAGTATTAGTAAGCACACAGTGATACTAACCTATGTACGACTGAATTATTATTATACGGTTTTTGCACGTGGTCCGGGTTCAATGGCGGTGAAGTTAACCGAATAGTGACGACTGGACGACAACAGTAGCAGCAGCGACAGCGGCGGCGGTGGTCGACGGAATTCGCTGTTGCGTGCGACGGCTGCTATGGCTGTGGCGCGCGGCCGGGTCAGCTCATGACCCTGAGCCGTCGTAGTGTGTACTGTTGTCCCTCTCGTCGGTTACGCTGTGCGATGAGCTATACGATATGCGCGGCGGTGGCGGCGGCGGTGGCGGCGGCGGCGGACGGACGGAGCGCCTCGTGCAAAAGCCCACCGTTACGGCGTTCGGCGCGCGCGGAGTGCTGGCCGCCGCCGCACGGTTCGATCGTGCGCCGTGGGGCACCACAGGTGCTTTTGCTAAACGCAGCCTCGTGCCCTTCTTTCAGCGGCGGCGGTGGTGGCAGCGACGGCATATCTCTGTCGTCCTCCCCCTTACATCCTCGGCCCACGCCGTGCATGATTATCGTGCACCCCTATCGGTTGCGACTGCCGCCATCGCCACTGTTCGTCCCCACAATCCCTTTTGCCCACAATCCACCCTACCGTCGCCGCCCCTGCGGTCGGGCTGGTGGTGACCTTTTGCGCGCTCAAAGATTGATTCTTATTTCGGCACTACGCCACTGTCACGGGCACAATCGAACGGCTTAAGTCCGCGTTGTCCGCACCTGTACGTGCGTTTACACATCATGCATGCATATGTGTGTTACTTGCGTGCGTTCGGAGACTGTTCCGTTCGAAACCGGTCATTTTTCCCGAAGAGAATCCCATCTCACATTACGGTGTACTAGTGATAGGGTATGTTACACAGTGTTTGAGTGTTCCTTGACACTGCACCACGCCCACGGTATAATTCTCATCAAATGGTTAACGTGTGCTTGAAATAATATCCATGTATTATTCGTACAGTTTTGACGTTTCGTTGTATTTCTGTTGATATTTGTTGTTCGGCCAATTTGGTTTAATTGCGTTGTATTCGTATCTGCTTTTCTTCGCATATCCTGTATGAACTCCAATGGTTACCCTCTATTCCAACGCAAGCCAATGTTCAATAGTGACAGACATTATTTATACATACTTATAATATTTATACGTATGTATAAAGATATATTATTACAGTGAAAACTGTCTAAAGCGGAATAAAACGGAAAACTATCCAATACGAAATTTTTCTATGGTCCCGGCACGTTTCTATAATTTTATGTAGACGCTGAACTTCAATAAAACGGAACCTTCTTAATGCGGAAATGGAACGATTTTGTAAGTCTCAAGCAAGTAAAAACCTTGCATAAACCGGAAAAATTATACACGTGTGTGTACTATAAACTAAATATAAGGTATAAAATGTAGATAGGCGTATGCACAATGTACATCATTTACAATAGTGATAGATAAAGAAGATAAAATTGTTCTATACATATTCGTAAAATATATGTATATACAATGCATAATATCACATAAACGATACGAACTTTCTTCTTTGTAACTGTGAAACAGTCTTACACCAACAGTCGTACGTACACCTTTAATTTTATCTTCCGTTCATTATATTAAATATTACAATGCCAAAATATAACACAGAAAAAAAAATAGCAGCAACTGTGACACAAAAAACTCTTCATCATTTTTGAAAATTCTAAATGTTTATACGTCATATTTAATTGTCTTAGTATGTAGATAATATGTAATAAAAAACCTATATTCCAGTTTAAATTTAATGAATTGTAAAACCTATATTTTAGTTAAATTTTAATAAATTATATTATTTAAAACAATAATTTGAAAACAATTTTCTTTGGTATTTATTTGATTTGAATAATCCGGAATTTTTCCGTTTTATTGAATAAAGCGGAAAACTGCTTAAAGCGGAATTTTTTTGTTGCTCCCATGCGATTCCGCTTTAAACAGTTTTCACTGTATAATAATATACAAAAAGCTGTTGGTGATGATATAATATTATAATAGAAAACTAAAAATTCACACTATACACGCATACATGATCAAAGTCATCGAGCGCCCGAAAAATTGAAATATATCTTATCGGTGTTTGGTATATTAACCATGATGGGTAAATATTTTTGAATCCAATTCTAACAGATGGTCAATACTTTCCATAAATAATTTCAACGTATGTTAAAGCATCTTGCTATATCTGTCGACTAATGTACGCAATAAACACTTACGGTAATTTCTTCTAGCCACCACGGGTTTTCAACGTCACTGTCAAATCTCCGAAGGAAGCCAATTAATGTGAATTATATGTACAAACTGAATGATAGATAGAGGGAGAGAGAGAGAGAACCAAGTTTTCACGGTAATAGTTATATGAAAAGACGAGAACTCACAGCGAACCATTTTATTTAGTGTAAACATAAAATACATAAAGTACCTACTCGGTTGAAGTGGGCGGCGCAACCTTTATCGATTCTTCTCGAGATATGCCTCCATAATATAGAATCATATTATTTATTAAAAAAAAAAATGGAAAGTATTAAATAATTAAATTTCATACGGACCATAATACAATAAATATAATATAATATAATATGATAACTATACCTAGGTACTGTAATTCTTCTTTTTCTTATCAAACTTAGGATAGACTATTGAGATCTTTCACCGGTTCTACTATTTCTCTTCACTAATTCCTATCCGATGACAAAATAATTTTAAACGTAGGATCTATACTTGTATGGTTCTGTTCGTAGTGTCCATCCACCTCTAGCGTGATTTTCTCAAGGGTCTTTTTCCACTAGGTTTTTCAATAAGAACTTTCTTTATGACACTTCCTTTTGTACGCTATATATGCCTAACTCATTTCAATATTTTGCTATTAAGGAATTGGCAAATATTGAGCTTATAATAAAAACTAATAAACTATATATATACATATATATGTAGTCTCCATTCATTCCGGGTAAAAAATTGATTATCAGTATTAGGAATTATCTAGAATAATAATATATAAAATTCGAAATGATTAATTTTGTAAACCAGTATGAATGTAAACCAGTAGCGTAATAACCTATGTCATCGTCGACATATAGTTCCAGCTATGTAATATAATTTTTATTAAATATCTATCTTTTACTACAAACTTAAAATTTATAAAAATTTAAAGTTTTACATTTTGTTAATGGCTCATATTATAAAATATGGATTCAAGTACAAAAATGTGGGTTGTTAACTTGTACTGAAAAAATCAAATGGTAACTAGTTATTATAGTATGCCTCATTTCTAAGGGTACTTACTAAATCTAATATCTATAAAATAATTAAAAGTAGATTTATATAATGTTCATAAATAGTTAAGAAGTCAATCAACTTAAATATCTAGTCTCAATTTTCGAGACAATGTAGAATTATCTGTGAAACAAAAATACGAACCAAGATAAAATGTTCTATTAAATATAATTTCAAAATATTTTATTAAACTAATAAAGTACTCGATATTTTAATTTTTGAAATTTGCTGACAAATACAAAATAATATAATAATACTCGCTCAAATTGACCTATTTCAAAAATTGAATGAATAAAACAATTTTATCAAAGTACAGATAAGATATGTATAAGGATTGAGAGCGCATTGCTGAGTGAATGTTACGCTAACCATAATTTTATTAAAAACAAGCAAGTACTAAATATTCTTGAAAAAACTATTATAAGAAAAATTTGATAGTATTTCAAGTTTTTATTCGTGGAAAAATAAAATAATATCAATGATTAAACATTACCACTGATTATACTGATACAATGATATGTATTAATTATATAATGTTATTATCATGTAGGTAATTGGTTATAAAAATCATCAAATGAAAATATTAACATAACATTTATTTTAATCAAATTAATTTAATGAAGCAGTTCGGCGTTGTACCTCTGCGTGAACGCATGTCTGTCGTTATACACGTTCCGTTATCTCGATTTCACTATGTCGTAGACCTACTCGTAATCGCTTTTCTATTAATGTGCGCTCCGCGGTTATAACGAGCGGGTGGCTATGTCAAGCCTTAGTGTCAATGATAAGAGTCGCAGTGCGTCTCATTCCAGTTCCCCTTCTCCGTCTAAACAAAAATCCACCAAACGTTTGTTGTCGTCTTCTTCAAACCCACCAACGACTCCATCTCATTTGGGAAAAAAACTAAAAGTTTTTGCACAACAAATCACTATGCTATTTTAGCGACCGAGGATGACAACGTTGAACCAACTGTAATTTCAACCAACACGGTTATTGACAGAGAGCAACTCATTCCACTTGAGGGAAAAACAAATTCCAACACTCGGGCTCCACCAATCTACATTAAAAACACTTCTGTAGTTAATTTTTCAGCTCTCAATAATACGCTTATACGACTCACTAGTGTAAACGGTTTCTCTTGTAGTTTCTCTTCTTCATTTTTAATTATTCGTCCAAATGGAGCTTCGAACTTCAATGCTATTATCGAACATCTGGCAAGCTCGGATGCTTGCTATTACACATTTACCCCTCCATCACTTCGGCCTTATAGAGTCGTTATCAGAAATCTTCACCATACTACTCTCATCACGGATATCTCAGAAGCTCTGGTGACCTGGGCTTCTGTGTTAGACGAGTTGAAAACGTTCTAAATAATGGTCTCCCGTTACCTCTTTTCTTTGTAGACCTAACTCCAAACGACAATAATCATGAAATTTTTAAACTGTCTTCATTATTGAACACAATTATCAAATTTGAAAAACCTAATAAAACCAAGAATAGACTGCCCCAGTGTCATACCTGCCAGAATTATGGGCACACAAAAAATTATTGTAGTCACCCCCCTCGCTGCGTCAAGTGTGAGGAGAATCATGACTCCAAAAATTGTATCAAAGATATAAACAGTCCACCCAAATGCGCTCTTTGACAGGGTGCCCACACCGCTAACTTCAAAGGCTGCCCTGTTTTTAAATCGCTGTCAAAACGCCCCAAAGTAAATAGGAAGACCCCTATAATAGCTCCAACAACTAATTTTCCAGGATCATTTTCAAAATTGAGGACAAAACCTATGCCGAAACAGTTAATTCTGATTTTTTTCTGGCTGAAACCATCTCGTCCATTTTATCCAATTTCATAAATAATTTAAATTATCTAATTAGCCCGTTAATATCCCTCCTTGCGGTGATCGTTTTAAAACTGTCCTTTCGTTAATTTGTATTTTTATTATATC